TGCCCCCTCCCCTCCCCTACACTTTCAAGATAGGAGCTGCAAAGAGGAAACAGGACTTGGAAAGGGAACAAGTTGAGGCGGGAGGAAGTCCTGGACTGGATTGCCACCGCTTTGTGAGGCCAAGGCAATGGCACACACGGGAACAGGTCTGGCTGGGGTTGTGGGTCCCTACAGGGAGAAAGGCCAGGCATCAATAAAGGTTGCACTATGTAGTAAAATTTGAAAAAAAATGTTCTCTTTGTGGTTTGAAAGTGTAATTTCCTTGTTAATTGTGCGGTTCTTACTTTGCACCAAGAATTGGGAAGCCCTGGCCCTTGAGCACTGTAACTGGAGGTCAGCTGTGACCAGCAGTGCTGCAGAATTAAAAGAGGAATGACTGGAGAGTGAAAGGGAGAAATGTGGAATGGTGAGGGTTGAGGTCCAAAACACCTGGAGGGAAGACTGAAGTTGACCCGTGCCTTTGTCCCCTGCGAATTGAACGCTTCAGTCAAGTAAGGGATCATCTGCATACCCAAGTTGTGGGAGTTGAGGTCCTAAACACCTGGAGGGAGAGCCCAAGTTGGCCCATGCCTTTGTCCTCTTGGAACTGGACACTTATTAAGGAATCATCTGCATACCCACGTTGTGGGAGTCCAAGCCCAAAACACCTGGAAGGAAGGCCCAAGTTGGCCCAGGCCTTTGTCCTCTTGGGACTGGACAGTCCAGTCAATCAAGGGGTCATCTGCATACCTATGTTATGGGAACTGAGGTCCAAAACACCTGGGGGGAGGCCCCAAGTTGGCCCATGCCTTTGCCCTCTTGGAACTGGACACTTCATCCACTCAAGGGATCATCTGCATACCCACGTTGTGGGAGTTGGAGTCCAAAACATCCCGAGGGAGGGCCCAAGTTGTCCCAGGCCTTTGTCCTCTTGGGACTGGACACTTCAGTCAATCAACGGATCATCTGCATACCCACGTTGTGGGAGTTGGAGTCCAAAACACCTGGAGGGAGGGCCCAAGTTGGCCCAGGCCTTTGTCCTCTTGGGACTGGACAGTCCAGTCAATCAAGGGGTCATCTGCATACCTATGTTATGGGAACTGAGGTCCAAAACACCTGGGGGGAGGCCCCAAGTTGGCCCATGCCTTTGCCCTCTTGGAACTGGACACTTCATCCACTCAAGGGATCATCTGCATACCCACGTTGTGGGAGTTGGAGTCCAAAACATCCCGAGGGAGGGCCCAAGTTGTCCCAGGCCTTTGTCCTCTTGGGACTGGACACTTCAGTCAATCAAGGGATCATCTGCATACCCACGTTGTGGGAGTTAGAGTCCAAAACACATTAAGGGAAGGCCAAGTTGTCCCATGCCTTTGTCCTCTTGGAACTGGACACTATGGTCATTCAAGGGATCATCTGCATACCCACGTTGTGGGATCTGAAGTCCAAAACACTTGGACTTCAAGTTGGCCCATACCCTGGCTAGAGGCAAGTGGGCCAGGTTTACTCCCCTTAATGATGGATCCCTCAATAAGTGAGAAATGGTAGTGCCTCCCATCTTTGAGATATTTCTGGGAATTGTAGCCCCAAAAGTAAAACATTCCAAGTCCTGCATCTTTTCCATTTTCATGGGCCCTGGACAGGTGGGAAAAACAACATTTCCTTAAGTTTTAGTTCTCAAGTAGCTGCTATGCCCAAGTACACTGCCCCTGCATATGGAGGCTCTCTCTGTTGGCATATGAACAAAAAGGAGCTCCATTCAGCTTCTCTTGCATCTGCAGTTGGTCTAATCACAGCTTGGGCCGACGCGTGAACCTTGCACATTGAGATTCCCTTCCATGCTTCCACCACATGGTGAAATTTGCAAATGCTCACCCACTGGCATCAAAAAACGAATTGAGACTGAATTTTCTCCCATGCACCAAAGACACGCGGAGCAAAGGTTCACCAGAAAGCAATAAATATTCCTGGAAAGTCCAGGCCAGATTTTGCAGCGTTCCTCCCCCAAAACCCACAAGTAACTTTCTGAAGGCCAGGAATGGCCAATCAACGCGCCAAGTTCAGGTCAAAGGAGCAAAGACACAGCTGGGCGACAGATGACTCCGAGAGGCACAGACAAGGAGGAGGAGGAGGAGGAGGAGCCACCACCACCACCACGGGCTCTTTCTTTCTCGTACTTGTACCTATTCCTCCTTTGGGAAAAACTGCAATCTGCCCTGGGCATGCCAGACCCTTGCAAGTATTTGCATTTGCCCTCCCCCCCAAAATATACTGGGCGTCGTGCAACACCAAATGGACTGACATTCTGCAAATGGAAATTGGGGCATGTGAGATCAAATATACCTGGTTGTGGTCAATGTGGCAAAGCACAACTAGGAAAGACAGCAGCTGTTTGCTTTTGCCTGAACCACCAGGGAAGTGCCCATTGAAATCATTGGGTCTATACCAGGCCTGGGCAAACTTGGGCCCTCCAGGTGTTTTGGACTTCAACTCCAACAATTCCTAACAGCCAGTAGGCTGCTAGGAATTGTGGGAGTTGAAGTCCAAAACACCTGGAGGGCCCAAGTTTGCCCAGGCCTGGTGCATATAGCACTTTTGCATCTTCAATTCTGTTTGCAGCCACAAAGGAAAGCTGAGGACAAAGGAGGAAAATGGAAGGAGGCAAAAGAAACCGGGACGTTTGAAAACCAGCTGTAAAGTGGGACGGTACAGGACTAATAATAATAATATTAATAATAAACCTTTATTTATGCCCCACTACCATCTCCCGAAGGACTCGGTGAGGCTTACAAGATGCCAAGCCGAAATACATCAGTAAAAACAGCAACAACAGCAATACAGATAATGCATAAACTCATAAACAAAGCAATAAACAGTAACAATAACACCACGGCGCATTAAAAACCTATGGCTGGGCCAAATGTAATAATTAAAATTATAAAAAATGCTGGGCATGACAAGGTGACATATAACTAGGATGGGTATTTGGAGAGAGATGGAGCGAGCAGAATAAGGATTGCCACTGCCACGTTACAGAAGTTGGAGAGGCGGGAATGGTACTATTGAGATTGGAAATCATGCTGATTTTTATTTTTCAATAATAATAATAATAATAATAATAATAATAATTTCTTTATATTCTGCTCTATCTCCCCAGAGGGACTCAGGATGGATTCTTGTAAAGAAGACCGTTTTAATCCCACCGAATGCCACCAAATGTGAAGGTGCGAGTGGTAAAACACCCACTGCCACCTAATCTATGAGGGAAGCCGGGCAACGATCAATATCAGCCTAGGAACTATTTTATAAAGGGACTGTTAATTACAGAAGGTCTTATTCAGTGGATAGCGTAGCGTTTACTGTTTCTGGCTGACTTTACTACTGCAGGCTGTTCAACTTAGGAGAAACTGTATCAGGCAAGGCTTGAGGAAAACAGTAACAAGTTTATTTTAACAGGAGTATAACATGTTTAACTGTTTCTTCTCAAGAGGCACAAATCTTGATGGTTACATTGGAAAGGTTTCATGAGTAATCTCAGGCACAGACTTCAAAACGTTTCACAGCAGGCACAGCAGGCTTAAACCTAGCCAAACCTTGATTCTTAATTTAGAATCAACAACCCCCTGTAGCTCTCTCACTACCGGGTCCTTCTCTGCAACCACTTTGGTCACCAATTGATTCCCTGAATCTCCACCCTGAGATCCAGTCTTTCCTATAGCACACCGGCTACAGACACATTCCCTGAATCTCCACCCAGAGACTCAGTCCTCTCAGTAGCTCTCCGGCCACTGACTGACTTTTTAAAACAGCTGCCTCCTCAAGAGGCAGTTGGCTCCGCCCCTGTTGCTATGGCAACTCAGCTAACACCAAGCCACCATCTCCAACAAAACATAATCTCCCATACTTACCATCCCTAAACTACTGTCCAAACTACAAATAACCAAAGGAATAAAACTTACACGTCGTCACAATTCTAAACATAAAAGGCAAACTTTCAATGCCCGAATACAACAACAATACATCCATGTGAACAAAATGTATACAACCCAAAAGACATTCAATTTCATGTGCGTCTCAGCATTTTGAGCTGGACATTATTTGGCTCAGCTAGTGAGCATTGCATTTTACGCAGCTACATAAAGGCCTGAGAGTAAACATGGTGAAACAGTGTGACCCTTGCACTATGATTCTGGAGGCCAGGGTCGAATCCTTTGCTATTGATGAAGACCCACTGGATGCCTTGCAGGGAAACACACAATCCCAACCTCAGTGGCAATCCCCTTCTGAGCAAAAGCTTGCCAAGACAATCATAAAGTCACCTGAAGGTCGGCACAAGTCGGAAATGGCCCGAAGGCACACACAAGCATCAGCGACAACAACAAATAGCCCTGATGCCGGACTAAATTTAGCTCTGGTATCAGGCTAAACATGCACACACCTTGCTCCTGTCCCCTGAAAAAGTTTGAGGCCAGACTATAAAAGTCTGGGCAGGACTTCCTTAGCCATTGAGCCAATGGTGAGAATGCTGGGATACACAATACTGCACAACTTTACCTGGCATTTTGCAATCACATCTGGACAGGGCTTCCTTAGACATAGAGCCAATGGTGAGAATGTTGAGCGATGCACCAGCACTCTTTCGTAGAGAAGGCTAAAGGCCCTACACAACCACAGCTCCCAGGGTTCCATAGCACTCAATCATGACATCCCAAGGGGTGTCGAACTGCATTAATTCTATAGTGTAGATGCACCCTGGGAAGGAGAGAGATTCTTCTCCCCCCTCGTTTCCTCTTCCTCCTGCTGAGTTAATACGAGGGTTGAATGAAAAGTAATGCCTCCACCTTCGTAACTCCTCAACAGGTGGTAGTACTGGTATGTGGCAGGTACTGGCTTCTTCAATAGACTCTCCTCTACAGTTCCATTTTGGTGGGAAGCCTTAGCATTGAACAGTTGTGTTGTTAAAGTGCGAAGTATAGAACCCTGTGCAGACGGTCGGTCAATGAGACTTAAGCAGCGTATGCATC